ATCGGGTGGAGAGGGAGGTGGGAGGGGGGATCGGGATGGGGAATACATGTAAATCCATGGCTAATTCATGTCAATGTATGACAAAAACCACTACAATATTGTAAAGTAATTAGCCTCCAACTAATAAAAATAAATGGAAAAAAAAGAGAAATGGTTCGTTGTTGTTGAATAGAATAAGCAAAGACAACACTTCAAAATGATGATTTTTTAATTTTCTGTCAGCTCACAAGGCACACACGTATCGAGCTTTTTCACCTTTCCAGTTTGTTTCAAATGCCAAATGACTGTAGAATTGTCGATGTTGAGTTCTTGAGCGAATTCTCGTGTAGTTGTAAGAGGATCAGCTTCAGTGAGTCTCTCAAGTCGTGGTTCCAATATCAAATGGCAAAGTTCAACAATGCAATACTGCAATTACTTTTGCACCAACCTAATACTATGTATCTGTTTAATGCTACCAAGTTTACATCTCTAGCCTGGTCATCCCTCACCATCTCCAAACTTATCTGTACAACTTCATGCTCCACACCCCCATGTGAATTCTAATAGACAACTCAGAACTAACCCTATTCCACCAGCAATGTTTCCTATCTCAGCTGATGACAGTTTCATCCTTCTCATTGTTCTGGCCAAAAATCCCAGTTATTCTTGATGCCATTTCTCTATGACATGTCACATTCAATCCATCAGGGAACCTGTCAGCTCTACCCTCAATATGTCCAGAACCCTATCCCTTCTCCCACCTCCGGTCCTGGTGCAAGTTGCCACCATCTCTAGCTTGGATTACTGCAATAGTCTCCTAACAGGTCATACTACTTTTATTCTTCTCCCCTACAGTCTATTCTTAACAACAACCACAGTGAGCCTTTAAAAATAGAAGTGACTTCATGTGATTCCTCTGCTCAAAACCCAACTTTGACTCCTCATTTCACTCCAAGTAGAAGCCAAAGTCCTTACAGTGGCCCACAAGGACCCACCCCTGCTTCTTACTCTCCTGACTTCATCTCTCACTACCCTCTTCCTCAGTTACCTTGTTCCTGTTACACTGGCCTTGGCTGTTCCTCACACTATCCACACATACTCCTGACTTACAGAGTTTGCACTGGCTAGTTAGCTCCTGTGCCTAGAAAACCATTCCTCCAACTGTGTAGCTTGGCCAGTCCCCTCACTTCCTTTAAGATATTGCTCCCCCCCCCAAAAAAAAGATATTGCTCCCACTTAAAAAAAAAAGGTGCCTGTGTGGGGGGTAAATTCCTTGGTGATCCAGTGGTTAGGACTCAGTGGTTTCACTGCTGAGGGTCTGGGTTCAAAACCTCGTTGGGAAACTAAGATTCTACAAGCCACGCAGCATGGCCATTTAAAAAAAAAGAAAAAAGACATTGCTCAAATTTCATTTTCTCCGCAAGGCCTTCTTGGATCACCTTACTTAATATATAGTCAGCCCTCTCCACCCTCTTCTTCCTCTTCCATTTCCAAACCTTCTACCTTGCTCTCTCTTTTTTTTTTTTTACTATAGCTCTTATTACCTTTTAACATACACTATATTTTTTGTTTTGTTTTTACTTTAAATTTTTTTTAAGTTTTCTTTCTCTTTTTTTCTAATATTCACTATATTTCTTATGTTTATTTCTTTGATGCATATCTACTGTCTCCTTCCCCTCTAGGATATAAGTGCTCCCAAAATAAGGATCTGTTCATTGATGTATCCCAAGGATCTAGTACAGTGTCAGGGACAGAATAAGTGCTCAGTAAATATTTGTTGAATGAATAAATGAAAAATGTGGATAATGATACTCACTCTAAAAAAAAAAAAATGATACTCACTCTAAAAAGTTGCTGTAGGGATTAAGTAACATACAGAGATCCTGACACTCTGTTAGATCCCCACCTCCCTTCTCTCTTTCTCAAATGTCTTCCCTAGTTGCATCTTACAGCATTTCTTCTTCCCTCCTCTTTGGACATTTTAACCCCTGTAATCACTCCTTTGAGTTTAAATCCAGGAAAATCCAACAAAAGGCCACAGATATCATCTGAGAATAAAAAGGACCCTGGGAGATCAACTCTACCCACTACCACAACTGTTTATCAAATTAGGAAATTGTTACCCAGAGAAGCAGACAGCCTGAGGAGAGGGCTAGGTCAATGTTTTGTTGTTGAAGTTAGACTTAAAAATCAACTTTAGGGAGTTCCCTGGTCGTCAAGACTCTGAGCTTTCACTTAAAAAAAAAAAAGTAACCAAGCAACTTTATCAAGGTATATTTACAGACATTAAAATAGATGCATTTTAAGTGTACAGTTTGATGAGTTTTCACAAATGTAAGGTCATTAAGGTCATCAGTGATTTAGCAGAGGTATCCTGGCCAGGAAAGAGAACACCACCAGGGCTTTTGGGAAACAGGGCCAAGCAGAGACATCAAGGGCCGACAGGAGATTATTGATCCTGGGGTTTCACTGCAGCAGGATCTGAACCTCTGGGATGTCTGGCAACTTCGCGGCACCTCCTGGTCCTCCCAAGGGAGTGAGCCAGCTCTCTTTCACACCAGTCTCCACCAATCTCCGGTGTACAGACCAGGAATGGAGACCTGGGACTGAGTTCTGTCTCTTGCCTGTCCTGCAACTCCCCTGCCATCAACCACTGCCCGCATCTCTGCCCATCAATGGGGGGCGCTCCAGCTTGAGAAGTCAAGCTTCTCTCCTGCCGCCACACCCACCGGGCCCGATTTCCTCTTCATTCTTAGTTAGAAGCCGGTTTCGGGTCAGCAGGAGTACCGCTGGCTGGGAAAAGTCAAAAGGCTACGCCAGGTGCTGGCCTCGGAAATCGCCCCTCGGGTCTGCCCTCCTCTGGTTCCTTGGGGCTCTTGGCGTGATGAGCTGGCCCCGCCCCGCAACCAGTCGCTATCTCCAGCCCTTCTGCATCTAAAACCCTCTAGGGGGTTGCAGGTTCAGCTTCGCTTAGAGACCGCAGCTCCTGAGTTCAGATTAGGTAGAAAAACTCAGGCAGGACTGGGGACTCGGGTGAGGCGTCTGAAGCTGGCCGCAGACTTTCTCTCCGGAACTGAGAGAGCCTCTTGAGAAAGCCCGAAGAGCTGCCCGCCCATCCAAGAAAAAAACGCTGGGGTTGGTGCTGCTAACATCTGGGGGAGAGCGAGGTGCCGCCCCCAGCGACTGGGAAATCCCAGGGGTGGTGCCGGCTGGGGGTGGGGCCGGGGGTGGGGTCCCGGCGGAGGGCGGGGCCTACCTGGGCACCCGGGTGTGCCAGCCCAGCCCTGCACAGCCGAGGTGGTAGTGGCCCGGGTCTGTGGCTCCCGCTCTACCTGCCCCTGAACCTCGCAGCCATGGAGGGACCCCAGGAGCTTCTGAGTGGGAAGCTCCAGCTCTGCTTCACCCCGGCTGCCCGGACCAGCTTCCTACTGCTCAGGCTCAACGACGCAGCGCTGCGGGCGCTGCAAGAGTGTCATCGGCAACAGGTACGACTGGCCCAGGCCCCATCCTCTCTATCCTCTGCCTCTCCGGAGGTCGGGCCTCAGCCGGCGACTCCGGCGAAGGGACCTGGGGGTGGATAGCAGCATCCTCGGGCTCTGGCCTCCCCATCTCGTCAAGTGAAGCCCGCTAGGCAAGTCCCCCCACCCCAGGCTCCCGACGCCGGATCCTGGGGACGCCGCTTCTGCTGCTCTTGGCTCAAGTCTGTGTTCTGCCCGCAGGTTCGGCCGGTGATTGCTTTCCAAGGGAACCGAGGGGTAAGCGCGGGTCTGGGGTGCGTGGAGGTGAAGAGCAGGGAGAACAGACATGGGCTTCAGGAAGGGACCGTCAGGGCGAGAGGCTGAGAGCAGTCACGGTCTGATGAAGTTTCGAGAACTGAACCCAAAATGGGGGAAATCGGGGCTGCTGGGGTTGGTCCCAAGAGGCTGCGGTTGAAGAGACTTCGGCGACTTAACCTCCTGAGGAACTCGGGCCCAGCTGCACCCTGTGTGCTAACGAGCCCCCTGGGACCCATCTCTGGTCTTCGGCCGGCTCAGGGGGGAACAGCATTGGTCGGGGAGGAGGAACTGACTTTCATGGGGTTTACTGTCTCCTTTCACCCACAGTACCTGAGGCTCCCGGGGCCCCACTGGTCCTGCCTCTTTTCCTTCATAGCATCTCAGTGTGGCCAGGAGGGCCCTGGTGGTCCAGGCTTGGACCTTGTATGCCAGCGCCTAGGCAGGTAAGGAAAATGGGTAGCAGGTAAGAATTTGTGGTAAGTCAGGGAAGGGGGTGTCCACAGTTCCTTAAAAGTTCTCCACCCTTCTGTTTTGTGTGTGTGTGTGTTTTTTGACCGCCTTTTCCCAGGTCTGGGCCTAACCGTCTCCACTGCCTGGGTCCACTCAGGGAGCGCCTCACGATTTGGGCAGCTATGGATTCTATCCCAGCTCCTTCTTCAGTTCAGAGACACAACCGGACTGGAGATGCCAGGGATCGTGAGAGCTGGAAGAGTGTGGGAGACTATCCTGAAGGAGACACAATTTCACAGTCACAGATGGCACTAGAAGAGGTGAGGCCAGAAAGTGCAGGGAATTAGGATAAGGTGGGGCAAAGCCTGAAACCTAGGGAGCCATGTGCCCCTGCCACTTTCCCTGCCAGGTGCCAGATCCACTGGTAAGCAGCCAAGGACAGTCACTCCCAGGATCCTCGAGGGAACACATGGCACAGTGGGAAGTGAGGTACTTGGAACAGGGTGGGACTAACCCAGGGCGCTCTGGTATTCCTCTCTAATTGCCACTCTAAATGCTGTGATAAGAGATGGAGCCCTACTTCCTACCCTGGGCTTGATCTCTCCTATTCCCTCTCCTAGGAACCAGACCCTTCTTCCAAACAGAGATCCTGATCAGGCACTGCCTCCCTCTGTTAGCCAGAAACATGTGGACAAGGTAAGTTGTAATAACAAGGGTTTTTCTAGGAGAGTTGTGTCCAATGAGGCTAACATTTTAAAACTGAGAGCTTATCATTTTCATGCTCCCAGAGCTCATTATATGGAAGTAATTTTCAAAAGAAGGGCACAATAGGAGGCTTCTGGCTTACTGTTTATGTTCCTGAGATATGTTCCCAACAGAAACGTCCAGCGCCTGCAGCTATGGTAGAACTAAAACAAAAGAGGCTCAGAACTCTAGCTCCAAGTCCCCTACAAGGACTGCCCAGTCAGGACTTACAGGAGGAAGATTGGGAGCAAGAAGATAAAGATGAAGATGTGGGTCCCAGGCTGGAGCACAGTCCCTCAGGTCAAGCAGGTGAGTTAGAGAGAGGGTGAAACTGCCATTGTGGGGAGGGGAAAAAAAAAAAAGTGTTATCATCACCTTCATGTCTTGTTTCCTTTCTAGATTCTGAATCCCCAAACCCTGAAGAAGTACCAGATTACCTCCTGTGAGTCCCTTGCCATTTCCAATTTTATCAAGCCTTGTGCATTCCTGGGAGCTGGAAGCTTTGGGGGGGTCAATGATACTGATGGTGACAACACTCTGCTCCTGGCAGGCAATACAGGGCCATCCACAGCGCAGAACAGCAACATGCCTACGAGCAGGACTTTGAGACAGATTATGCCGAATACCGCATCCTGCATGCTCGTGTTGGGGCTGCAAGCCAAAGGTTCATAGAGCTGGCAGCTGAGATGAACAGTGTTCAGCGAGGAACTCCAGAACACAAGGTAAGGACTGGATGAACCCAGGCTGGCTTTCAAGTTCTACTGGCCATAAACTCCCTGCTAATTGCCCGTAAGTATGTTTGTTCAATGACCAAAGTGACAAGCAAGTCTGTTTTGAGAGAAAAATTAAGTCTGCATAATTTGGCATAATATGAAGTTACTTTAGTCCCTAAGAGAGTTGGAGATTTTTTTCTCAAGGTTAAACTTAGTGCTGACATTTTCTGTTTCAGGTGCTGGAAGAAAAGATAGTCCAGGAATATAAAAAGTTCAGAAAGGTAGGACCGGGCCTGGGAATGGTAGCAAGAAGGCAGAATTGACTTTTTATTTTTTTTGACATGGGCACTTTTTCTTTGCAGCGGTACCCAGGTTACAGGGAAGAGAAGCGCCGCTGTGAGTACTTGCATCAGAAACTGTCCCACATCAAAGGTCTCATCTTGGAGTTTGAGGAAAAGAACAGGGGAAGCTGAAGCGGACACGTGGCTCTTTACCCTAGTGTGATATGGAAGAAAACAGCAGCTATTGACTAAGAGGACAGTTGTCTGCTCTTCGTATTGTTGAGTCCATAATGGCAAGTAGGAGAGCTGCTCTAGGTTCTTGAGGTTTGGTTTTCATTATTACCATATTTAAACTTTTAGGGCATGGGCACAGTGCCAACACTCCACAGCTGTGCCCAGGAGTTATCTAGTAACTGAAAACTAGGAAAAGTAGCAGAGACTTGGCTTTTCCACCTTTAGTTCAGCCAAGTCATTTTCAAATCCTGAGAAGTGACACCATTTCCAAGACAAGATACCTTGAGAACATTAGAATTTACCTGGTAGCCTCCCTGAAAAAATCTTTGGTAACAAAGCTAAAGCAACTACTAATACAACAGGATATAATGGGAAAGGGCTTGGGTATTACCCATGTACTAGAAATGAATTCTTTTACAAACATGGCTAAAAAAATTAAAACTGATTGCTTCTGTGTCAAGTTTATGTTTTCCTTAAATCCTCCAAGATGGTGGTTCTCACCCTTGCTTGTGTATATGAACCACTTCTTGGGCTCTCTAAAAAATTAGATCCTTAGATCCCAGCCCAGGTCTTTTAAAAATATATATTATTTTATTTGGCTGTGCTGAGTCTTGGTTGTGGCATGTAAACTCTCAGTTGCAGCATGTGGGATCTAGTTCCCTGAACAGGGAGATCAAACCTGGGCCCTCTGCATTAAGGAACGTTAGTAAACTCTCCTCAAAACATGGAAGATGGGGATCACCTACAACTAGGGCTCCTATCTAGAATTATCCAGTAACTCAAAACTATAACTGTGGATAGGATTTGGATTTACCCAAAAAAGAGGGAAATGATTCAATTCTTTTGCCAGTCCTATCCTTTTTGTTCCTCACTTATACACTTTTGTGCATAAGAAAGTGAGTATTTTACTCACAACCAGGAATGATACTGCCTTTCCCATTTCCACTGGAGGAGGAAGTTAACGACCACACCCTGGACTTTGAGGGAGAAAGCTGTACCAGTAGTGTCAGCAATTCCTAGAACAGCTTGAATGAACCCCAACCTGATGCCACACCCACACAGGGCATTTCTGGGCAGAGAATAGCCCTTGGGAGGTAAAAACATGCTTAGCTGCATGGCAAGGATAAATAGCAACCCAACCTTAAGGTATGGGGGGCCAGAAACAGCCCAACAAGAAAGGTCCTTCACCTGTTCTAATCATCAGGCTAGGGTTCTGTGCAATAAACACATAAGGATAGGAGATGAAATTTGGCAAGGATCTGCAGGTGATTAACTATGGACCAGTGCAGACAGCTCTGCGGACCATCATGGTAGTCACTCGCCCTACACATAACTATTTAATGAAAATCTAAAATATGGTTCTAGCTCCATTTCAAATGCTCAACAGCAATAGGTATTGAGCAATGAAGATTATAGAACATGTCTATCATAGCAGAAAGTTCTACTGGACAGTGCTGGTCTAGAGAAACTTTGGTTCCCCACCTCATGGAGAAAAGACAGTATAAAGGGGGCGCATTTATTGTCACTGTTCCAAATGTACAAAAAAAATTAGAAAATAACCCCCCAACTCAATTCCCCCCACCCCCACAACATTCCCCCCCAACACAAATAATTTTTCCCAAAACCACAAACATAAACTGGTTCTGGTATTTTCATAAACAGTGCAGCTAAGAAACAGTTTAGAGAAAATTTAACAGGATTCAGATTATAACCATTCTGCCCTCTCAGCCCTGAGAGGCAGAAATTCCATACGGGTCCCAGTTCTCCCCATTGGTTTTCCCATCTCTGGTGGAAGAGTCCTTTGACAAAGTGGTATGATGTTTGGCTGCTGCTTTAGAGATCCTCCTGTGCCTTCTTCTTCTTCTTAGGTTTTTCTTCTTGAATTACAGGGGGGTTTGTAGCCTCTCGCTTTAGATAGCTAATAAAATCACTTAATTCACGGCCACCCTGAAAACAGAAAGATAACTCTGAAAATTTAACCTTTTAAAAAATCCACAATTTCCCTCCCCCCCACCCAATAGGAAGCCTTTTGTATTTTAAAAAGCACATTAACAACCACATATATGGACCATGAGAGTTGAGTTTCCAGTTATATAAACTCAGTTAAAGAACTGGATCTGTATGTGTGTGTCTGTATGTGTGGCGAGATGAGAAAATGCACTTACTTCATATTTCTTTGGATTTTGCTTCTTGTTGGCTGGAGAAAAGTAGATGGTAGGAAAACTGGGAAAAGAAGAAAAGATGAATTTCAGATTTCAGAGTAACTCTAACATACACTTCCATAATAACTGTTTCCACGAATAATTTCTCTTCATGATTTCTAATCTGACCAGATACACTGTCCATCAGTGACGAGGTTACATCCTGTTAGAACACAGGAATATGAAGGCTCACAAGGTCTAGGGCAGTCATGAGGGGCCATGCTGGAGAAACTTTAAGCCAGGAAGGCACTGGTGGTTCTGTGTTCAATTGGAATATGAGGATTCTCCAAACTATGCCCAATATAGAAATGGTTTACAAGCTCATTTTTTCCTATCAACTGCCTAGACACTTTTACTAGTTTTTAATCTACTTACCCTCTGACTTCATATGGAGAAGGCACATCGTTGGCTGTGGCATCCATCTTGGCTATGACAATATTTGGATCTTTTCTGAGCTGTTAATTAAAAAGGTTAGGTCTTTGAGTTTCAAGTTTTCAGTGACGGACACAGTCAATTTAGGACTTAAAACCATTAACGGCTGGATAGGTTTTGCTGCTGAGATGGAAAGAGTAGTGATACTTTCACAAGTATCAAATTTCCCATAAACTTCCCTTTTCTCTCTTGGTTCCTACATATTAAGACTATATACAGACAGCTGCAAAATTACCTGGCCTAAGTAAGACGTCAGCTAAAACAAGTGATTTAAGATGGAGAAATATAATGAATTCATATATGCCATTACCAAATTCAGAAGCCAAGGTACTTTTTAATCATAATCTAGATTGAGTCCGAGGAGTGGAAAGTTAAAGCAGGTATCTAAGGCACTGAGTAGGCTCAGAGTGCAGTCAGGAGACAGTACACAGGAGATAGTTGAAAGAAAATCCACCAGTGCTTAAGTTCTGAACTAATTAGGGTAACTATTAATCAATAGCCAATGCTAACTTCCAACTCAAATTCAACTTTATAATATAGTTCACACTTACCTTCTCTCCCAGTTCTTTATACTTAGGCTCCAGATTCTTACAGTGACCACACCAAGGAGCATAAAACTCAATCAGCACATCTTTATTTTCATTATTCACTATTTCATCAAAATTCTCTGCTACCACTACCTGGAAAACACAGAAGATTCTCTAGTTGGTAAGGCCAGTTGAATACATTCATGAGCTGTATTTGTTTCTGGACTCAATCCCTCTCAAATTTGTTGTGTTTCCACCGAAAAACACATTATTGAAATTCAACTTGCACTTACAGGCTTTATTAAGACATTACCATTCCCCAGAAAGCAACTCACTCCCATGTCTGTCACCTGTCAGATTAAGCTGAAGAAGTCACAGGAGACAAGTGCTACCCAGCTCTTCCTTAAAATAATCTCACAGCAACAATCTTACAGTTAGCTTGTTCTGTCCCAAAGTCACCGAGCCCTAATACAAATATCGTAAAATTCTCCTGCCTCTATTAAGCATTATGAGCTCTGCCAATGCTTAATTTATGATGAGAGAGGTTAAGGACAAATAAAAACAGGAACTCAATAGCCAACCTCGTCTTCACTTAGACCCAGCATTTTGGGAAGAAAAAAGTGAGGAGAGGCAGCTGTGCAGAGGCTCGGGGACACTGTGAGCACCTCACCTTTACAGGCCCATCGTTGCTCTCTGGGATAGGCTCGGACTTCAGGTATCTCTTCAGGTTGCCGTCAAAGTAATCCTGTAGGAATCTCTCAAGAGCCTTGCCGTCACGCCTGGTATTAGAAAGACAAGGATGAGCTTCTTAACATACTCCCACCAATGAGAGAACTAAAGGCAGTTGTTTAGAATGGTTTCTACTTTAGCTTAATTGTTTCTCTTTTAGCTTGAGTTTCAACACTAGGAAGTAACTGGAAGTTTAAAAAAAAAAAAAAGAGGGAGCCCTCATTTCTCAATATGCAGAACTACAGACTGAGTAAGAAGCCACCACCTTCTTGTATTTCTAGTGTGTACTTTGGGGATTAGAAAGGCCAGAGAAAGAAGAACACGTCAGTCCTTCTGGAAATTCAATTCTGCAAAAGAACCAGGTCTTACTTTGTTGCTCTGGAGAACAGTGCCTATTTATGGTATCTTGTTTTACTGGCTTCACTCACAGGAAAATTTTCTCTTGTTTTAATCTCCCGAAGTCTCAGAAGGTGATGGTCAAAACTGTCTGGTTTTGTCTTAAGATGTCTCCAATTTCCTGAGTTTACTTTAGGCCAAGGTGGTATTCCAAGAAAAAGGACATTCTGTAGGGATGGGAGGGGACTGGTTTGGTCTGAAATTACATCAGTCTCGAAGAGGCTATCTAGTGTTCTCTATTTACTGTATAATGGCAGGGTGGAAAATAGTCATGTAAGAATTCCAAGCTGCCAATCTTTTTGCTTTTCAAAATTCATTAAGAATCATGATTCTTAAAATATCTATAATTAATTAATTGACAAAAACGACAGTCATGGGTCTTAACCTAGCTTCACATTCCAATGTTCTTCTTTATACATCCTCAGTAGTGTCAAAGGCTTTAATGGTATCTCTGCAGAATCAAATCCCAAATCCAGGCTAACTTGTAACTCACGAGAACTCCTCCTGCATGACAAACTTCTCTCCTTTTGCGGTTCTGATAGCAACAACAGGAATCTCTCCAGTAGTGCTTTCCAAGCCAAAATCAGAAAGTTCGTGGCTAAAGGTTTTGCGGCTAGCTACAGCAAAATAGAGTTTCTTTCCAGCATCCAGGAATTTCTTTGCTACCATCATCACTCTGTGGGAAACAAGGGAGATTTATGCCAAGAGGATACCAGGATGGTAGAGCACTTCTGAAACCAAGAAGCGATAAAGCAGAAAGCAACATTTAAGAGTCCCTGCAGCCCTCTGGGGTCAGTCTGAACTTGTGTCCTTGTGCACTGACATAGGATTAGGGTGTACTCCAATGTCTTTCTGAACTTCACCGCCAAACTGGTGGTATCCAAGCCAACAGTCCATACCCACTGAATGCTGCCATATTATATAATATAAAATACTGCAGGCATTAATAACTAACCCAAAAAGAACATCTCTAAGAATAAAGTGCACTGAGGGTGTCAATGGGCAACAAGGCACAATGTGTTAAAGGACATTTCAGATGGCATTTGAGTCTCTTCTGGGAGGGCAGGAATCAGCTGTGTCATATGGAAGATATGCCCAATCGTTTTTGGAAATAGTTTATTTGTCCTTATAGCTTCAAATGAT